TGGAGCCTGTTCCCAGTGTGCGCACGCGCAGAGATGCCAGATGAAGGGAACAGCTGAAGAACAGGGCTCGACTTGGGAGGAAGGCCACAGGTGGACGGTGAATGGCCCCTCCCATAGGGAATAAAAGAGCAGCGAAAGGGGTGTTTTCAGGAGACAATGAGTTTGCTTAATTGGTCCATGACTCTCCGGGAATCCTTGCCAGGTTTTGTAGATATCGGCCTGGCAACTCTCCAAGCCAGATAAGGTCTGTGACTGTAAATCCTCCCTTGAAAGACTTTGCTGGATGTGAATGAGCGGAATTCACAGTCAATTAATAAAAAGGTGGGTTTTTTTTGTCGGGACAAGGAGTCTGCTTTGTGATTTGGGGAGGGGTATAGGGCAGAACAGTTTTGCAGGCTAAGCAAAGCCCCCGGGTTGCAAAGAGCCCCTGGCACTTACACTGAGCAAGAATCCCCGACAAAGCCAGTTTCAATTTCTCCTTGGCTTCCTCCATTTCCTTATCATGGGCCGCTTTTTCATTCATCAGCCGGCGGATGTGGCTGTTGACCGATTGGACCATAGTGTAGAAGCTGTTGGCAGTCCGACGGTTCACTTCCCCCCTCTCCAGCCAGGCCAGCAACGTCTGGACAGCTTCCAAAAACTTGGCATCCACTGGAGGGAGAAAGGGGGGGAGGGAGAATCGCAGTTAGGTTACAAGCGTGGCCCTTGTTGGCTAGACACGTGGATTAAAGTTTTAAAAAGCACAACCAAGGAAGAGATTCCTCATGGGGGCAGAAGTACCATATTTTTGGAGTATAAGACGCACCTATTCCCCCTCCAAAAGAGAGTGAAAATCTGGGTGCGTCTTATACACTGAATACAGTATTTTTGGCCTCCCGAAACCCCGCCCCCTTCACAAAAATGGCCATGTGTAGCCTTTAGGAGGCTCCTAGAATGCTCCTGGGAGCTGGGGAGAGCAAAAATGAGCGAAAAACGGGACTTTTGCTCATTCCTCCCCCCCCAGCCTCCAGAAGCATTCTACAAGCCTCCCAAAGCCTATGCATGTCCTGTTTTTTTTGCAAAAAATGGGCTTATTTTTCGCTCATTTTTGACAGCCCCCAGAAGCAGATCTCTCAAACTCTCTGCATGCCCCGTTCTTCACAAAAAAGTGTGCAAAAACTTTTTTTTTTTAAATTTACCTCTTCAAAATCTAGGCGCGTTTTATACTCCGGTGCGTCTTATAGTCTGAAAAATACGGTAGGTGGAACCGTCCCCTCAAGCAAAATGCAAAGTTGGGTGAGGAGATTCACCCCGTCCCCAGTTGCAACGCTCTTCTCTATATTTATGCGTTGAGCCACGCAGCTCAGGCGGGTAGAATTCCACCAGTTCGGGCCAGTTTAGGCGAACCGGTTTGCTCCGACTATCAGCCAGGCCCGCCCACCTGCCCTTGTGCTATATACTCCCCTATATTCCCATTTCTGAAGCCCAGTTCATGGGCGTGGCATAGTGGATTGCCAGCGCCTCCGCCGTTTTCCTTCCCAGCAGTAATGCAGAAGGTGATTTCTCCATAAATTGCGAACCGCGCGCTCAGCGTACCGGTTGTTAAACCGGTAGGATCCCACCCGCATGTGCATTCTGATCAGCGCACGCGGATTCACGCCGGAAACCCAAAAGAGGAACGGGCGAAGCCACGCGTATTAGGCGACATGGCTCTGCGGAGCATCACGGTGTTATGTCAATCAATCCCCCTTTATAGCAATAGCAGTTAGACTTATATACCGCTTCATAGGGCTTTCAGCCCTCTTTAAGCGGTTTACAGAGTCAGCATAT